ACTGGGTGTTATGCACAAACAATGAATCATGGAACACTTCATCTAAAACTAATGATGTAATGTATGGGGATTAACATAAGAATAAAAAAAAAAAGAATATATAAAATGGATACGTGAAAAGCAATAAGGGGGGATAGTCAACTGTGGCAAATATTTCATTCCAATATAATACAGTAAAATTGATTCAAAGGAAATTGATAAGAATAAAATAAATTTAAATTTGAGATGTTAATCTTTAAACACTGTGACTTTCAAAATAATGCCAACTAAATCATTTGCTATTGATGTCAGAAAACTCAGGTATTTGGGGGAAATGTCATTTAAAAATTATGCTTCTACCACATACTGGTTATGAATTATTCAATAAATGTGTGGGGGTGATATTGTTTACAGCACATTTCCTGCCAACTTCTGTTTTTCACTAAATTTTTTTTAAAACTTGAGGCAGCTTCATAAAGTAATTGGTAATAGAAACAGATGGCACTTTTTTGACCCTTTATTTTAGCTTCTAGGCATTTGCAATCAGTTTTATATGCAAGATACGGGGCAGACAATATGCATTAAAATTAGCCCCATCTTTTTTAGCTGCCAAAGAGTAGACTTGGTCGTAAAATTTGATAGTGAAGAACCTCAATCATCTAGTCTGATTCTCAGATTTTATAGGTGAGAAAATCCTTGAGGTGAAATGACCAGCTCAAGGTCACAGAGGAAGTAAAGGCAACCAGATCTCAGCCACTTGACTTAGTGTCAGAGATTCCTTGCTCCCACTCCCAGTAGCAAGGCTAAGCTTTCCATGTGGGGAGCTGGGAATGTTTATGTATTACATAAAATTAGGAAAAATTTTAAGCATCCTGAAAATAAACAAGAATAATATAACTCTGGAATACCTTCCCACCCAGTTCTGTTAATAGTTAAAAAATTGCCATATTGGCATCACCTTTAAAAAAAAAAAAACATCATGACAGAGTTTAAGTCTTCTTTTATAGATCAGAATTGCTATATTCAATTTACACTGAAATGATAGCATATTAGCTGTGGATTCATTTGTAACTCTTTTTAAGTCAATTACATAAATACTCTCAATATCCTGAAAATAATAACAACAATAATAACAATAATAATATTATTATTATTACTGATAACAGTAACAAGTAGCCATCATTGTTCTGCTTACTGTATGACAAGCACTTATTTGCATGCATTGTATTATTATCTTTGTTTATTTATTTATTTATTTATTTAGAGAGGGAGAGGGAGGGGGGAGGGATGGAGGGAGAGGGAGGGAAAGAATCCAAAGCAGGTTCCACACCCTGCTTGCCCACTCGTGCTCTCTCACTAAATAGATAAATAAAATCTTAAAAAAAAAAAATCAGATGCTTAACTGACTGAGCCACCCAGGCGCCCCATGAATTGTATTATTTTATATAAAATCACATTTTGTTATTGTCCTAGAGTTCAACTCCTTTTCTTCTAGACAAAATTATTTCTCTTTTGTCATTATTCTTTTCAACAGAAATAGGACTGTGTCATTTAGGCTTATTTTTTTCCTGTTGGGCCAAATGGCCTCTGATAGCCTAAACAGTTTCTTGGTATGGAAAGAGCCAGACGCTTTATTTTGGGGGTGGACATGGCCTCCTGTCAGTTCCACAACGAGCAGAACTGGTGCTGGATTTCAGCCCTAATTGTCCCCTTAGGGGGGGCACTCTTGTTTAGGGCCAACCATTGATTTACTGTGGCCAGAAAGAGAAGACTCTCAAATCTGGGGAGTAAATCAGATCAACACATGGCCAATCTAAAATGAGGAATATTGTGAGAACATTTGAATTTGGTTTTGGATGGGTTTATTGAACTTATGTTTGAATATGGGTTACACCCGATGATGTTCTGAAATTTGACATCAAAGAGAATGAGGAAACCATGCTGTGAATGAAGAGTGAGCTGAGGAGAGGCTGGGAACCTATCCAAGTTTTTCTCCCAGAAATCAACCTTCCTTGGAACAGATCCTAAATTGAAATGATTGGATTTCAAAGCACATTCCTCCTGAAAATGAGATGGACTGAAAGCTAAAACAATCAGGTGGGAGGAGTGTGATATGAAGTACCACATGAAAGCCTTACCTGCCTCCAACTATTTCTACATCATCTACCTCCGTGATCTGAAATTTCCCCCACAGAGCAAAATAAAGATGGTGACTCTGTCATCCCCACTTACCATGTCCCTGATTTTATGTTTCACCCACGTGTACTTCTCACCTTTCCCCAAAGCACATAGAGATCTTTCACATTTCAGGTTGTCTGTTCATGCCACTCACTTCCTGGCCTGGAATTCCCTTCCCTTCCTCTACCTGGAAAACTTCTACTATAGTCAAGTTTCAGGAAACACAAGTCAAGAATAAGGTGGTTAAAAATAAGTGCATATCTGGAGAGACAAACAAAACTACATATTTAGACTATTCAAATTTGGATAGGATCTCAAAAGTCTAAACTCGAAAAAAGTGTCTGGTATATAGTGTGTTCTCAGGAAATATTAGTGGAATGAATGAAGCAGATAATGCTGTGTACGTGTAAGAGTTTTGATAATTTTTTTGTTGGATTTTAAGGTCTTCTTCTGCAATCTTTTTACTGCAGTTAGGTCCTTTTATATAGCTCCATCCAGAAGCTTTTGAGATGCTGTGTGCAGTGCCTTACCTAAGTGAGACACAGTGATCTGTGGAATCACAGATTATATATGTCACCAGGGGACTGGTGTGCCTGGGATGAGCCCCAGGCACTCATATACCTGACGTGTATTTCTTTCCTCCTGTTGTGCTCATTTACTTGAGGGTCTTGTCCTCAGTCTTCTCTCTTGCTCTGGCATTCTAGCTCCTGGCTGGAATTTGGAGCCTGCCCTGAGCCCTGGTACACTTAGTTAGAGCCTGGGCCGACTTGGTTGTGTCTTGCTCATGGCCAGGGGTACGGATCATGTCCTCTTCTATATAAGTTTCTGCTTCCACAGACTAGCACTGGGAATTGAGATGCTCCAGCCCTCTCTGACATGGAACATTCCTGTCCTCCACCATAGTTCAGTAGTCAAGGGCACAGGCCCTGGAATCAGATGGACCTGGGTGAGATTCTAGCTCCTTTATATTTAAATTTAGTCAAGGTTTTCAACATCTCATGTGTAAATTGGAGCTAAGAGTAAATCTTCATATTGTGAGAATTAAATAATAATATAGAAAACACTCAATAGTGTGCACATAGAAATGATTAATATCTCTTTGACTTCTAAGGTTAAGACCACTGGTCCAATACCAGCTGAACACTGGCTACTGGGATGGATACTGGCCTACCTGGATTCTGGTTATTGACCTGTAGAGGTCAGACCTACTGTGAAGTAAGCAATTCTCCTTGTAGTCTCTCTTCTTTTTGTTTCTCTGTTTCCTAGCCAGATCCTAACAAGGAAGGGATGGGAGGAGCACAGAAGCATCTCTCCATCTCATAATTTGCCTTGGCCTTGCTGAGACAAAAAAGATTGATTATTTTAGAACACAGTAATTAAGTAGGCAGAATACAAACTGCCAGTAATATCAACAAAGCAATTCATTAAGCAGAGTTGGTGCCCTTGGTTAATAAACCGTCTTTAAACAAAAGTTTGCCATGGGCAAGCCAAAATTTTGCATAATTCATCTAAAGATGAGGGAGAGTTGACTTTATGTGTTTATAGATACTACTCATAAATGAGCATGGAATAAATACTCTTAGAAATGAATCAGGATATTTCTCTAGAAGCATTTACCCTTAAAATGGTACTTGAATTGTGAGGAAATTGCACTTGTGCTCAACGTATTTCATTGTCTCGTTTCAGTGATGTGGTAAAACAACCACACATTCCGGAGTCAGAAAGACATGGTTTTGAATTGCACTCTGATAGAAACTTAATATCACTGAACCTTAGTTTTCTCCTAAGTGAAATAGCTTTAGTTTGATCTATTTTTTTCAAGATGGCTGTACAGATTAAATATGATAATGTGTTCTAAGTGATTTGTGTCATGGCAGGTCCAGTTTCTACTCTTATCTTTGCCTTCCAAACTTATATGGAAGGCACACTTACATTAAATAAACTTAGGGAAATCACACATCTCCTCATCTGAAAGCTATTCTGCATTTATCCCCACAAGAAAAATCAATGTGCTCGAATATTCTAATATTCTAACATAGGGCTTGCTGACATTCTGATCCATTCTACTTTGGGGCAGTGAAATTCAAGTTTGGGGTGGGGAGGAGGATAAAGGAAGTAAAGTGATTGAACTCATTGACTTGGAGGAACAGGGAAAGGAGGGTTACTGAGCATGTGCTACTATGAGTGACGTTGTTACCACAGACTATCCATTCCACAAATAATCATTGGGTGCCTAGTATAAGTAATGCACTGTTCTCAGTGTTGAGGATACAGCAGTAAACACAACAGGTCAAGTCCCTGGTCTCAAGTTGCTTAAGTGCTAGAGGGATACAGAAAATAGGTAACTCAGTAAAATGTACAGTGCTACTGACAGTGGTCATGATGTTAAGAAAAATAAAGCGAGATAAGAACGATGAGGAATGCTGGGTGGGTGCGGGATTTCTATCTTATATAGGGTGGGCCAGAGAAGGACTCTGATAAGATGACATTTGGGCAGGAGTCTGAAGGGAGTGAAAGTGAGTTTGGAGATATTAAGCCTAAGAGCATTCCATGCAGAGAAATAAGTTGCAAAGTCTCTCGAAGGGGGGAATATGGACTTGTTAGAGAATATCAGGAAGATTGGTGTGACTGGAGCAAGAATGAGCCCTTACAGAGGAGATCAGGGAAATGCGGCATGAGTGGGTTGTTGTTCCCAGCAGAGCAGTTTGTAAATGTGTGGGATATTTTCAGTTGTCGGAATGACTGGGATGTAGTACTGTTATAGAATGGATGGAGTTCGGAGATGTTGGGTGTACTGAAATAGGTGGGATGGTCCTACATATGGAAAAATTGTCCTACATCTTGCCCAACTTTCAAATATCTGAATGGGTATATCTACATTATAGGGCTGCCACATACAGTTGTGCAGATTGTGGACTGTGGGATTTTTGGAAGCACCACTGACATAGATCTGCTGGGCACGGTGGCCCCATAGGACAATGTTGTGCACAATATGTACAGCTGTAAGGGGCCTGCTTACACCCAGGTAAAAAACTGTTTGTAATTTCCTGAGTCTGCACCCTAACTCCATTTTACACATATACAAAAAGCTTATGTTTTGGAGCATTATATAATTCCTGAATATCTTAGGAATGCAACTACTATGTAAGTACATGAAACTTTACCAAGAGTTGTTCACTATTGTATCAGTCAGGTTTCAGTAAGGAGAGTGAAATCATATGGTAATTCAAACAGACCAAATTTAATATGAAGTATTATTAACTATAACATGGAATTAGAATGAGGGATTTGTTGGTAAGAACAGAATTCTAAGAAAAGTATGAATGGTGGATATAATGATAAGCACTATCTTTGGTTAAGAGAGAACATACAAGGAAGAACCACCCATTCTGGGGGGAGGGGGGATGCTAAGAGTCAGTATTTGTTGAACAACACAATCATGGCTCATTGGGTGGTAAAGAAGTTGCTGTGGTTTTGCACTGGCAGAACTTGCTGGAAATCCTCACTTTGGAACTTGCCAGAAAATCAGGTGCTGGGGAAAGCCTTTCAATGTAAATGTCTCTCTGAGGCATTCTGCTATGAAACCGAATAAGAAGTATGTCTGAGGAACTGTTGTCTGCTGGATGCTGCTGATTGCTGTCCATTGCAGGAGCTAGCTGAAGCCCTGTGGGAGGAAATGGCTTATAGGATCTATCATAGCAGCTGCCAGAATCCTTTTGTCTAAGAAGGGAGAATAAATAACCCAATCTTTTCTCCTCCCACCCTCTTATCTTCTGCAACTGTCTTCTGTTGACCAAACCCAACTGGAAACCAGCAGGCTAGTAAGTTTGGGTCATTCTGACCCTAGGGGTCAGCTGGCTGAGACAAAGACCAGAGCAGAAAAAGACCTGTAATGGATTTGAATGGGAAGCAAATGGACAATATAGAATTGGGTCAATTAATTCTAAAAAAAAAAAAAAAAAAATGACAATTGCCTCAAAGTCCTCTGTTTGATTCGTTATTGTATATGAGATAACTCAACAATGAAGCTGACTTATTCTAGAAGACATTTTTGAAAGGTAGTCTCTCTGACTCCATGAAGTCATAAAGAGGATACAATGCGCTGACAGGTCAAGAGAAATTCTGCTATGCTTCTTTCCTGAGCTTTCTCACACTTTCTGGCTCCCAGGGGCTGTGCTCTCCTCCTCTCCCCTCATTACCTTAGAACTTGCACTGTGATAATTTTAATTGGGACCTTTAATATCAGGGTCTATCAGGTTTTAATCATCTTCCATCTATGTCATCAAAATATTATATTATTCTCACATGGAGATAAACTCATTTGAAGAAGAAATTCCTGCCAAGCCACTCGTGTGTTTTAGCCATTGTTTCTAAGGGAAACAATTTTTCTTTCTTAAATCTCACAAACATCTTTAAGTGTTTCAAGGTTCATCATTTAAAAGTGGGACTAGAACTATTCTATATTCTTAGCCATCTCCAGGGATGGAAAAGGACCAATGAGTAGTAACCATGTGCTTATACTGATCTGAAGCTTTCCAGTTGTGCAAAGATAGAAAAGGCTATCTTGAGAGACAGTGAGGTCCCCCTCATCAGAAGTGTTTGGCTATTAACGTTGGAGGGAAGTTGTAGAGCAGATTTAAGTTTTGGGTGTGTGGTTGACCCTATATCTTTTTCAGGTGCCTGCCAACACTGAAACTGTGTAATGCTCTGCAGGTTAAGGTCCTCACAATCATGACAGCACCTTGCCCAGCTGTGGTTTCTGCCCCTGGGTTCAAATGAAACGAAAACTGAAGTTGCAGCTCAGAGAGAGAAGTTGGGATGTGGAGAGGGAAAAGTTAGATGGAGAAAGAAAAGCAAGACGGAATTCATGTTTTATTGTGCATGTGGGGTGGTGTTTACTTATTGCAAACATCATCGAGGGGCTAGGACCAGGTCCTTTTGCTAGAGATCCCCTTGGAGCTGGGGCCGCCTGCCCTCCTGGGTCAATGGGATTGAGTGCTGGCAGTGGAATTCCTACTCATTATGTACCAACAAGGCAGCTTTGCAGCAGTGCCTCTTGTCATCCCCCCTGCCCATTCCAAACATGGTCATCTTCCATCATATTTTGTGGGACATGGTATTAGTTTCCTATTGCTACTAGAACAAGTCACCACAACCTTAGTGGCTTGAAACAAACAATTTTATTCTCTTACCCTTCTGGAGTTCAGAAGTCTGAAATAACTGTACTAAAATCAAGGTGTAGGCAAGGCTATGTTCTTCCTGGATGCTCTGGTAGAGACTATTTTCTTACCTTTTCCAGCTCCTAGAGGCCGCCTGCATTCCTTGGCTGGTAGCCCCTTCCTCCATCTTCAAAGCCAAATCTCTCTTTCTCTGACTCACACTCCTGTCTCCCTCTTATAAGGGTCCTTGTGATAAAACATTGGGCCTATCTGGAAAAACCATGATAGTTTCCCCATCCCAAGATCCTTACCTTAATCATCTCTGCAAAGTTCATTTTGCCACATAAGGTAACATATTCATAGAGTATAATCTTGAGAGACAGTGAGGTCCCCCTTCACCAGAAGTGTTTGGCCAGTAAGACATGGACATCTTTGGGGGACAGAGACCATTAATCTGCCTACCACAGAAATTGACACCTAAAATTTATACCCAGGTCAAGGAGAGGACTGAGTGGGGGCTGGACATGTGAATGTTGAAATATTGTCACATGTCCACCAAACAGCAAACTGTTCAGACACACTTTCATTTCAGACGACCCCCTACCCACAGTCATGACACATCCTAGTGAAGTGGACATTTTGGTAGTCATGAATGCTGCTCATGAAATATTTTTAGTCCTCCTATTGGGCACATGGGAGGGTTATTTCTCCCTGCCCCCTTAGAGTTAGATGTGACCGCATGATTTGCGATGACCAATGAAATAATAACAGAAGTGACAAGTGTCACTTGCAGGATGAATTTTAAAGGCTGGTATATGATTGACCACATCCTCATTTTTCTGCCAGAGCAAACATGACTGCACACAGATGAACTCTCCCTTCATCTGGGTTCCTGACAGAGAATTAACAGAGTAGAGCTCCCCAGCCGACCCCTAATGGACACACAGCCTGAGTGAGAAATGAACTTTTGAACAACTCAGATTTTGGGATAATTTTTACTGTAGCATACCCTAGGCTGACCTGATACAGGCATCCTTCATAACAAACCAA